TTTTTCTAAATAAAAAAGTATATATATTGAGAATTAAGGTAATCTATTTAATCAATGTTTTTCTTTTTTTTTTTTCAAATGAGTAATATATAAAAAGAGAAAAAAAAGTTATATAATGGGTCCAAATATATAAAAAAAAATTGATCGAGTTAAATACAACTCACAAAATTATGATAAGTCACCCATTTGGCATAAAATTGAGTTGATTCATTTGAGCTTCTTAAAATCCAAGTCCATTATAATTTTAACCCTTCAACTTGTGCTTTGATTTTCCTCATTGTTGTTTTGATGCACCAATCGATCGTATAACTATCATCAATAAGAGGAGAGATGACCAAAAGAGAGTTATTACAATTTTGCATAGGCAATTCTGAGTGCCTCTAATCTCTTGTTATTTTAACAGTAAACCAGTACTTTTATTTATGCGACCAAAGATAAAAATCTTGAACAAAACTAGTTTATGAACGTTTTCGGCACCTTTTATAACATAAGTGCAACAAAATATTTGGAGTCACAAACTGCAACATTACAAATATAATTTTTGAAGACAGCATTTGCTTTGAATGTGGAGATTTTGCTGCATTTCTATATTGATTTAACAAATAAAATGAATGCAATAAAATTAATCTAGTGATTTTCTTTGTTATATTTATTTCTCCAAAAGTAAAACATATATACCATTATTGAAGCATAAAGTAAGATTTTTTTTTTTTCACAAATAACCTCTTCCTTGTATTTGTTTATGGTTATTGATTAAAAAGTTAATCATTCATCTATTTGTATCACAATTAGACACTTTTATATGGAGGCCCCAATTAGACTTCGGCCAATAGTATAGAATTTTTCGTCATACTATTTTTTCTTTTTCATAACTTAGTTTTCTAATTCCACTAAGTAAACCTAAAGCATGTGTTAGACAATGTAAGAGGATTACACAAAATTTTGCTACATTGTTGAGAAGCAAACCAAGTGCAAATTCTTCTTTAGAGTTTAAAAATCATCCCCATCTATCAAATGTTACAGAAGCTTGTGAGAATTTAATATTCATTACAACTTCAACAGTGTTTCTTAGGAAGACTTACTTGAGCCCCATTGTTTTCTTCATCATCCATAAGTTGGTTTTACATTTACAAAATCAGGAAAAAAAATATCACAATTAGGTTTGAAATCTTCAATAGAGGATATCCTTGGGTCATTATGAATGTTGGTTTCAACCATTCCAATTAGCATACAACAACCTTTCTCAAGGATTGTTTTTTATTTGAGGATTCCTTTCCATATAAAGGAGTTATTCAGTTTCATTTAAGTTAGATGCATTGTAATGCTTTGTAAATATTTTGCTTCCACTAATTATACTCAAGGTTTTGATGATTCATAATAAATGTGCCAGCACAATTTACTTACTAAGGCAACGTTAAATTTTTTGAATTTTTTAAAACTATATCCTCCAAACAATTTAGGGAAGCAAAATTTATCTCAATTAATTGGGTAGAAGCCATGGATTTGACTATCTTTTATGCCCCACCAAAATCTTTTGGTAATTCTTGCGAGTTCATTAATTATATTTTTATACGAAAGATATGTTAATATTACATGGTTAGGTTTACATTTGACACCGATTTGATCAATGTGACTTTTTCAATATACAAAAGAGAATGTTATTTCTAACTAGATAGTTTAGATTTCATTTTATCCAATAGATTATTAAAGTTGCTCAAGCTAACTCTTTAGTTAGGAATGACAAACCCAAATACTTGTCCTTACCATTTGACTCTTTAAGACCTAATATTTCTAGATTTTTTTTTTTTAATTTCAATCTTAGTATTTTTGTTGAACATTAATTATCTAAAATAGAACCTTTAGTGTGATAGTTTTTATAAAAGTGTAGAACTTAAAAGAAAATAAAATCATAAATTAAATACGAAAGCAAAATAATTGAATTTAGGATTTACATTCCTTACAAAATAATTTAGAATACCCAATAGAATTACGAGAATGTCTCTTCTAAAAGAACAAACAAAAATCAAAGAAATAAATAGAAGACAAATAATTGAGCGTTTTATGACGACCTTCACTAACTTTTGAAAGGAGTCCGGGTGGTGAATTTATTCACAACCCTCTTATTGATCCGGATCTGAGTCTTAGTCCTCTTGATCTGAAATAGTTAATGAAATAGTGAGCTACACTAGTCCAGTAAGAATATTACACTACTCACCGATACAGAAACTGAAGGTTGGTAAAAATTATAAAAACAACCAAAAAGCTCTTGATTCAAGCAAATTCATTTATCATAAGAAAAATAATTTATTGCATGTATTTATCGTTGCGAGATTTTCAAAATCGACTTATAGAGACAATAACCCAAATAACATTTCAATTTCATATTCAAGTGAATAAAAATAATAACTTTTTTTTTATTCGCCTACTGATATCATTGGAGGTCCATAGGGATGTCTCACTATGCGTGAACCAATATTCAACATTATTTACTAACCAGTCATTCTCATACCTCGTCCGATATGAGCGCCAAAAATACTAATCCTCGATACCCCGTCCGGTATGAGGCAATATTTACGGTAGGGTTTCCTATGTACCCGGTCTGTCCACTATCTCTCAGAATATCCAGTAAGGCTATCATTCATTAATTCACATGATCAATCAATTTTTCGTTTGCATATTAATTACTAATTTTACAATCAACCGTAAATCACGCAAGACAAGCAATATATGTCAATGAAGTACAATTGAATCAATTAATCATTCCAGAATATCATCATTTATTTAAAGTTGTAAATTCAACCATCAGTTAAACAGGACAACAAATAAATGATTAATCAATTTTCGGCTCTATTGGTAACCTGTAATTATTCTTAAAATTTTTTAAATTATACAAATTACCATATTACCAATTATTAAGGTTCAATTCCATAACAGGAAATAAAGTGATGGATTCTTACTCGAATTAATGTTCGAAATACTGAACTTTCAGCTGTGCCTACTGGCAGTCCCCAGATTTTCTGAATTTTCATGCGATTAAAACACGCTTTACATACATAAAAATATCCTAAAAACCTAAAATTGGTGTTAAAAATCTTTTACGGCCAATTTTAGAATTCTCCGACGATGGCACCACTGCCCGCGATGGTGGTTTGCCTCGACCTGGCCATTTTCAGTCAGTTTTAGCCAATTTCTGCCGATTTATACCCATCCATACGAGAAAACAAGTTAGAGGGTTTTGGTTGGCCGAAAAAAGTCAAAAAATAAAAATTTACCGGTGGTAAAATTTTTCAATACGGCGGCTTTGCCGGCTCACATTCGCGGCTGAGCGTTTTTTCTTCGATTAACTTGTAGAAAACAGAACGGTGGAAAAATTGCACGAAACGAAAAACGGGAAGGGACTCATTGGAGGCGGTTTTGGGTTTTGCCTGCGGTTTTGGACTCATCCGCCGTTCTTTTTGCTCCGATTTAGCCATGGGGATGTTCAGAATCAAATTCAGAGCGGATATGAGAATTTTTACTTTGTTTGGCGGTTTGAGGTGGCTCCGGTGAGGCGGCGGGCGGCGGTCGGCTCTCTTCTCCGGCAACTGGTTCTTCTTCTCCAGTAGGGAGCTGGCGGGTAGGGTTTGAGTTCAGTGTGATGCGAGATATTTATACCTGTCTAGTTTAAATTTGGACCGTGCATCGCGTTTGATCTCAACCGTCCGATCACGTTTAAAGAGAAAATAAATATGCACCGTTCATCATGATTTGATCTCAACTCATCCAATCATATTTAAAGAGGAAACGAATCTGAACCGTTCATCGTGTTTAATCTCGACCGTCCGATCGCGTATGAGGAGGGAACAGATCTAGACCATCCACGCACGCGGGAACACATTTAGGCTGTCTGATCGCGGGTACGCGGATTGCCAATTTGGCCTCCCGCATAGTACCAAGTTAGCGTGTCTTGCCACGCGGTGCGCTCCGGTTCGTCAGGGCTGTTGACTGGGCATTCTATTTTTTTTCAAAATTATTTTCAATTTTATCCGCAATTCATTTTTTTCTTAATTTCACATTAAATAAAAATTTATTAATTTTAAAATTATATTTTTATATATTTTTTAAAAAATTTAAAATAAATTTCAGACCAAATTACGGAGTCGAGTATTAAAGTTTTAGTTGAAAGGATATTACCTGCTAGCATCTTCTCCCATTTAATATTTTTTTGAATACCTCACTAAAGAGTATCAAATCATTACATGATATTTTTCTAGTTTTACTAATTATAATATCTAACATCTATACTCAAAGCTCTATTTTTAAAGTGATGGAGCATATAATAGTAATTTATACTCCCAAGTTGGAAAGAACAACACCTCATAACAAGGAAAAGAGAATTAAACCTAAGATGGTAACAGGTTGTAAAATATATACAAATTACTTCTTTCATTAAAAACAAAATTATAATCAGTAACACATTTTACATTATTTTAATTACATGTTCTTATTTTCTATGGCAATTTTATCCCATGAAAATAAGCGTTATAGTTTTTAAAGAGAAAATAAATTATATAAAATAAATTTTAATTAATATTATTTTTTTCAAACTTCTCACTATGTATTAAGACTAGAATTGAATATGCAAATATTATATTTTTAGAAATAATTAATAGTTATAATTTTATTTTTAGAATTAAAAAAGGTTAAATCAATTTTTTTAAAAATTTATTATGATTATTTTAATAAAAAAAATTTAACACTCACATAATATTTATTTTATTCATGAACGTAGTAGATTTATAAAAATTTTATTAACACACGAATAAATTAAATTTTTAATTTTATTAAATTAAAAATTATAAGTTAACAGTACGAGTTTAAATTTTTCCATACAATTTAAATTTATAATTTTTAAATAAAATATAAAAATTTTAATTATTATAATACTGTTTTATTTTATTGATAATAATTATTAGATTTTTTAAAAAATCTATGTAGTTGTTAAAGAATGTGTTTCTTTGCTGCGGGTTCTTAATGAATTGTCTATTTATTTACTTTCCTTTTCTATACAAAAAAAAAAAAACTCGTCTTCTTTCTCAAGTCAAGTCAAGATTCAGTGATCGTCATTTGGGGCGTACGAAAACCAGAGTAACAAATCCAAGGTAGTTTAATCTATTATTTTCTCCTAAAGAGATTCTATAGTTTTAATTCTCGTTTTATTTTTATTTAATATAATTTTTTTTTGTTTATCTGTTATCCTGCGTCTCCATCCATAGAATTACTACTGTTCAATCTCCATTATTGGCCAAATCCTGAGATCGACATGTGCGCGAATACCACTGGATTTTAACTCTCCCTATTGAGATGCCTCAAGACTAGTTTCCTTCCCCGGTTACGTGGTTTCGTAGCAAGTCAGCTTCTTGTTCGCATTACCGTTGCTGCTGGTTCCGTTCCATTGCTCCGCCATGGACACCGGACAAGGTACAGGAATGAATCGCAGTTAATATTCCCAAATTTCCTTTGTGTTTCGAAGCTGAGAAACCTGAGGAAAGGAAAATGAAAAATTGGAAGTCGACAACCTTCGTTTGCTAGGTTCCAATAATTGAGGAAACTGAATAAGTTGTTGCTATTTTTTTTTTTAAAAAAATTGTCCCTGTTCTGTATTTTCAGATTTTGGAAATAAGTGAATAATCCGCAATTGTGGAAATGATGAAAATGTTATGTGTTTGTTTGATTCGCAGTGATTGAGTTCTTAAGTAACGTCCCATTGCTGCAGA